CTCCAAAAGAACGCCTGGGGGGCTGCGCAGGGTAGGTGCGCGGAAAGCCGGCAGCGGCCCCAGCGCAAGACAAGCTCCCGTGATGCCGCGGGGCCGGCCAATGGAAGCGTCTCCTCCCCGCCTTTGGGCCGGGACCCCGGGAGCGCTCGAAAGTTCTCTGCGGCCACTTCTGCGTTGGGAGCACCTGTAGTTTGATATTCTTAAGTTACATAGTTCTGTGTTAAAACAATTTGGTTTTGTTTAACATTACACTTGGAAAAGTTAAGGGGAAAAAATCACCTATCCTGCCACGCCTGCCCGCCTTGCAGCTGACTTAAACTCCCCAACAAGCTGCGGTCCGCTGTTGCTTCCCTTCTTATCCTCGCCGGCTTGGCTTTAGGCGAGGCAGTATCACGAATAGTTTAAGGTTGGGGTCTTTGAAAGCCAGATTACCAGGGTTTTATCCCGTCATTTACTAACTGTGACCGAGAGCAAGCTCTTTGGTCTTCCATTTTCTGTCTCGAAACGAATCTAGTAGAGATACCTACCTCATAGGGTTGTTGAAGCGCAGGGAGGGGGTGAAGAACTGTGCCTGGCGCCTAGAAAGAGCCCAGCATATATCAGCTATTGTTACCACTGTTGGTGTCAACATTCACGAGAGGGAAACTTCAGACTTCAACGCGTTGTCACTGGCTTCTGTCTCCTTCCATTGTTTTAGCCATATTTTAGATTTTTAACATTTAATTAGATTATTGCCAGTTAGTAGCTGAAATGTACACACCTGCAGATACAGGTGAGCAGATTTAACTTTTTAAAAAAAAATATCACAGCTAAATAGTCAAAATGAACTGTAAATACAGTCTTTAAAATAAGGCATTCAAACCATGGTTAAACTGATTTGCCAGTGGATGTTATTGGGGGTACCATTTACTCATCAGATACCAATTCTTCATTTGTCATTAAGCGTTGAGTGCCTACTATGCTAGATATTGAAGATTCCGAGAAATGACACAGACCCTCCTTCAAGGAGCTTTTGGGAGTGTTGCAAATAAAGAGATAAGTGCTCACAATACTGGTGTGGAACCAAATGGAAGAAGACATGCCCAACTTTTTCATTCGTTCATTTTTTAAAAATGTGTTTACTGAGCATGATTTGCCAGACACTGGTCTTTATGCTGGGAACAAATGCAAGTCCTTTGGAGCTTGTATTCTAGTAAAAGGAAAAGACAATAAACATAAAAGAAACTATACTATGGCAGGGAATTCTGTGGAGAGAAATCAAAAAGAGAGGGATGGAGGAGAGGATGTTGCTATTTTATACAGGCTGTGAAGAAAGGCTTCTCTAAGTGACATTGAAGGAAAGACCTGAAAAAAGTGAGAAACTGAACCACAGAAGAGTGTTCTAGGAAGAAGCAAAAGTAGAGGTTCTGAGGAAAGAACAGAGTGCTTGGCATGTAGGAAGGAGGCCGGGAGGCTGCAGCAGCTTGTGCGAAGAGGAAGCAGTGACTGGTGAGGTTGGAGTTGTCAAGATTGATCTAGAGCAGGGTTTCTCAACCGTGGCACTAACATTTTGGGCAGGATAATTCTTTGTTGTGGGTCTGTCCCACAACATTGTAGGATGCTTCAGCATCCCTGACCTCGCCCCACTAGATGCCAGTAGCACCTCCTCCCCCCTACCAAAAATACCTTGTTCCTCAAATGTTTCCTGGGGTGGGGGGTGGGGAAAAATTCCCCAAGTTGAGAACCACTGATATAGAACCACTTGTCCAAAAGTGCTTTCTGAGATGAAAATATTCTGCATCTGAGCTAATACAGTAACCATCAGGCACATATGGTTATTGAACTCTTGTAATGTGGCTAGTGCAGCTCAGCCGGTGAATTTTAAATTTTATTTGAATTTTAATTAAATTTTAATAGCCACTTGTGGCTAGTGGCTACTGTATCAGTACAGTCTAGAGTTTTGCAGCCCATTGTAAAAACTTTGGCTTTTATCTTTTACCTCTCTCTGCATTTCCTTTTATTCTCTCTGTCTCTCACTCCAGACCAGTCAGTGGTTCCCTTGCTATTTTGTTCCTTAAACTTGCCATGCAGGTCCTTGCCTCAGACCCTTTGCTCTTGCTATTCAGCCTAGCACATTTTCCCCTCAGATATGAGTGGCTCTCGTTCCCTTAACTTCATTCATTACTATCCCTGCTCAACAGTTATCAAAGAGGTGGTATCATCATATTTTATCATCATCCTGTTTAAACACCACCTACAATGCCATGCTTACTTACTTTCCCTACTCACTTAATTTTTCTCTATAGCACTTATATTGTATTTTTGTCCCCCCTCCCTACCACCCCCCCGGTAGAATGTAAGTTCTGAGATTCAGGGATTTTTATGTTTCTTTTTTATTATTTTTTTTTCAATTGTCTGTTACAGAGGCTGGCACATAGTAGGTATGCAATAAATATTTGTTGAATGAATGAATTGTAAAGTCATTGGAGGATTTTAAACTGAGGAATGGCATGATCTGACTTGTTTCAAACAGTATCATTTTGGCTGCTGGTGTCTAGAACAGACTGCCAGAAGGGCAACGGTAGAGGGAGGGAACCCAACTAGAAGATTAATACAGTAGTCCAGGTGAGAGTGAAGGACACGATAATGAGTCAGGGATGATTGCAAGGATTTGGTTTGGGCAACTGGAGTTGCCGTTTACTGAGAGGAGGAAGACTGGGAGAAACAGGTTTCAATAGAGAAATCCAGAATTGTCAAGAGATTAGACTTTCTGGAGAGTGTGGTGATGCCCAAGAAGATAAAGCAAAGAATGAGGAGTGGGGCGGAAAAAGAATTACAGGTAGAGGGAGCAGTAGTGAAAAATGCATGGAATAAAACAGCATGGCTGTTTTTGGCTGGAACCAAGAGAAAGTAAAATCATTAACAGGAAGGCCTCAGCTCCCTTCAGGAGCTTAATTCTTAACCTTGCAAGAACGGCTCTCCCCTTTTAACAGATGTGGAAGTCTGAGCTCAGTGGGATACACTTAATTGCCTTAAAACTATCATGCTGGAATTTGAATATAGCTGATCACACATCTTTGAGCTGTTTTCATTAAATTACATTGTGGTAGTTTCAATCACTGAATACTTTGAAAAAAGTTCTCTAGATTAGAATGGTTTTGGGGTATTAGATCTGTTAGAATATCCATTCATTCAACAGTAGTTATTTAAGTACCTATTAATAGGGGACTTCTTTAAATGTCCTGGAAATTGAGTTTCTAAGGCTCTATAAATTTAATACTTTATGAAGAAACTGGTTGCTTTATATCTGTGGTTTTCAATCCTTACCTGGAGGACTTGTTAAATGACAGATTGGTCCCTCACCTGATCAAAAATTTAGCATTTCTTTCTTTTTTGAGGGGGGGCGGCGGGCACGCCTCACGGCTTATGGGATCTTAGTTCCCCGATCCCTGGGGACATGGCAGTGAAAGCACAGAGTCCTAACCACTGGACCGCCAGGGAACTCCCCAAAATTTAGCATTTCTAACAAGTTCTCAGGTGATAGCGATTCTGCTCTTCTAGGGACCACACTCTTAAGAATCACTGCTAGTAGAAGAGAATGGAACATCAAACAGCCATGTCTGTACCAGACTTCATCCTTTGTGAAATCACTGATCCTTAGGCAAGACTAACCCTCTCCATCTGGATATATTAGATCCACTCATGCTGTACAATTTGTAGGGAAAACTCCATGGCAGAATGGAAACTGCATGGCAGGATTTTAGGAGGAAACATCCGACTTTTCAGTTCCACCTCTCCATTTACTAGCTGTGTAACTAGTCAAGTTATTTAATCTTTCTGAGCCTTGGTGTCTAAAAAGCATTGTTCATATCTACCTTTGGGTTGTTTTAACAGTAAGAGGTAACACATATAAAGTAACCTGGTATACAGTAATTTCTTCTCCAGTTGCAGCACCCATAAATAAGGCATGAACCTCTCTCCCTTTAGTTTTTATTCCATGTAATATTGGATCGCCTCCATTTTAAATATTGATATACAGCCCAAACTTCTGGCCTTGTTATCAGTTGATTCTTGAATTAGTATGGACCTTATGCTATGAAAGCAATCTAATTTATCTTGGAAGTGTATTTAATATTTGATTGCTTCCCAGCATTTCTCAAATTTCAGAAAAGAAAAAAATGGAAAGTCTAGATAACCCCAATAACTTTATCTAAATACCTCAATACATTTATTTAATAGTCTAAGATCATATGACCATAAATCATAGTTGGAAAATTCTAGATCTCAGCTCTAGAATGTTTCAGTAATTTTCTCATAGTTTTTCAAAGCATAACATTTGTAATATGTGCAAATCACCGTAATTAACACAATATCTGTTCTTTCATTTGCAGTGCTCATCGTATCAGAGTTTCTCTCTACTTCAGCCCCAAGCTACAAGTTATAGCAAAAAGTGTAGGAAGTTTTCCTTTGTTAGTGAGCCAAAAAAGTAGAGCCCTCATGCCCAAGGACCCCACTTTTAGATACAGATTACTAATTGGTTTGAACGTTTTCCCATTGAAATACTTTTGTAGGAAGTAATTTTCATAATTTACATCTTATTTCAAAGCGACTTCACAGTCTTTAAGTTCCACCAGAGGCTCTTCATCTCTGAAAAATTACCAGTGCAGATCAGTCCATCCACTGTCTTGGAGAGTTCTGATATTTGTTTTCCACCTACTAAGTTTCCAGAGGGTACTATTTCACACTGAAACCACTTACCTGAAATGACTTTAGTAACCAGTGTTCTATCAACTTGTAATTCCTGCATATGGACATTAGTTTAAATAATGTCAAAAATATCTATTTTGTGTAGACTTTTAGAGTTTTCTATGTTCTTTAAAATCACTCAATAACCTGAATATGGTAATATTAACTGAAATACCTCAGTCTCTTATGAAACGTAATAGAAATTTCTTATTTAACATACACCTTAAGCCTAATTCCTTTTGAAGTAATGTGCTACATAAAACTGAACAACTTCATTACCAACAAGGACAATGTTTTATTGAACAAATCTATGTACAGTACAAAAAATTTCTTGAAATGAGACACTGTTGATTTATTGCAGTTCAATGGCTCAGTTTTAATTTGTACTCTTATAAAATGCAAAGTAAAATAATTTAATGTTCAACAAGGAAGCACAAATTTCCTTTCTTGCTGAATCTGTAATATCTTTCACATATTAACAATTCCAAAATGCATATGCAGCATTTAGTCATTCTGAAATGGTGTTTTACAGTACCAAATAAATTAAAAAATAAACACTACCATCCCTTTTAGGTTTTTCACCCATACTACAGTTTGAACCAAACATGAAAGGAGTACAGCTGAACCTTCAAGTGTGATTTGAAAAGAATCACAAGTTCAATGTTATGTTATGTTTTCATTATATAATTGGTGATTTTAAAAAAAAAAAAAAAAAAAAAGAATATGACTGAAGCCCAAAGTACCAGTGCCCCTGTCCACGAAGGTTCTCCATTTCTATCTTCTCCATAATATCTGAGCAGCAAAAATTCAGATTTGCTATTTTTTTTGACCTTACTGAAACATAGCAGAAAGTTAATATTTAATGTTTCAAAGGAAATTTTTATTTGAAAATGAAGGATGGAAACTTGGTCCACGTAAGATAAACACATCCTTAAAATAGAAGGAGTAGAAAAGAAAAAGAGAAGAATTTGAGGAATAAGAAGAAAGCTTCCTTGTCTTCTGAATTCCACATTGGAACTGTTGGAAGTTTATGCACCCCGTAAAAGCAAAATGATGTAAGTTTATGTTTTATAAGGCATACATAAGAAAATGTACACATTCTTTCAATAGCAATTATTTGATAAGTATATAAAGAGGTTAGAACAATGTGGTCAAATAGAATTTTATAAAACATTCCTTGATCTAGTTATGTATAAACCAATTTGATCTCAGTCTTTCAGAAAGTTTTCCCTTACCAACACAAAAGTAGAAATAAAACCTCAAAGACAAAAAAATAACAAGTGGAATATGTTTAAAACATCTTGGTATGAACTGCAAAATGAATGAAAATAAGTTGCAGACATGGATTTATGTCAATAGTTACAACTTATAAAAAATAAAAAGTTAAAAATGTGATAAAATGTTAAGCTGTGATTTTAAACATCTGGAAAATGTACAAAGCAGAAATATTTTAAAATAACTTCATTGTCCATATGAACTAGTTTCCAAATACTTTTTATTATATGATGTATTTTAGACTGAACTGAAAAAGAACTCAAGTATTATATTTTTAGTATCAGGAAGTATGGAAAACATTTTTTTCTTTAGCTGACCTTAAAGGATTTAAAAACCTTATCGAGTTGTTTACTTATGTTTTTAAATGTAAATTCCACAGCCTAATGTAGGCTACATAACAAAACAAAAACCTGATTTGATTGATATGGACTTATGACTATCAATTGCATAGTAGTGAATGCCTATGATAAATAAACTAATAAAATTGGGTAGTTTTTTAGATATCTGATTTATCATGACCTGGAAATCCTAATTTAATAAAGCCTGGATGCTACCCTGGAAGAAAAGTCACACTTCCTTAGTGACTTCATTCAAGAAGCTTTAATATCCAGAAATTTATAATAGTAGGGTCTGATGAGATTATATACTTTGAACAAGAATGTATCAGTTGGAATAACTGGAATATCTGGTTGACATTGGTACATTAATAGCTCTGTTTTTGAAGAATTTGCCTTTGCATTTTTGTTCATTTTACCCCTGCTATAGATTAACACACTGTTAGGTAAAAGGAAGTCTTTAAGCTTCCTCTTTTAAAGACACGGAACACATCTGAGAGGGTATTTTTAAAAACCTTTTTGTTTTAACGATTTATTGACTATTAAGTTAAAATCTTCCTTAGGAAAATTACTGGTCATCAAAGAAAATAAATGCATCAATATATCTTACTGTGTTCTTGCTGTGCAAATTTTTGTGTAAATATTTCTTTTTATATATAAAAATTACTATTCAGACCAAATTCATCAGAAATAAATAAGAAAGCATAAGTAATATGGCTTATTTTAGAATTAACTCTCCTAATTGAATAAAACCAATGAATTCTTGACCGGATTCTTAGCTGCATATTTTTTTTTATAGTCAGTTATTTTTATAGGACTGTACTTAGATAACTCACATTAATGTCTAAAGGACCTTACTATGAATCATCAAGCAATGTCCTAACACTACTCTATATACAAACAGAAATATCCCAGTGTGTTTATACCATTATTCACATTGAAGAATTTGCAATTCAGTGTTTTCTTTCAACTAAGATAGCCTTTAATGGTCTTAGAGCCTCCCATCTCTTCCCAGAGTTACTGATAGTATGTTTTCTATTGACGCTGCTGCCTTTTAAATATAACTCATTGGTATTATAAAAATGGAAAGTGGAAGGTTCTGTCAAGAGCTTATTAGCAAAGCACTGTTGTTTTGTCTTCTTTTGTTTGTTAATTTTAAATGCTGGTATGTCATTCATTGAACTTTGACCTAATCAATCATCTGGAAACAAGGTACAATCTTTTATAGCTAGTATGGTGATAAATCGTTTTACTTTCATCTTATCAATCAGTTTCTAAGTAATAATAAATCAAACAGAAATGGTTCCTTAAAGCATGTTTGACCAGAAAGGAGGACATAATCTGATTAGGCATGACAAGAAAACAAACCCTATTTGTGGAATACTTTTAAGTTGTTTATTGTAAACCACCCCCCCCTTTTTTATAATGGGTTTTTCCCTTTCTGTAAGGCCATAGCTGGTTATTCTTTTTGACTAGTTGCCTGCATATGTTTCTCACATAAGCGAAACTGAACATGCTGCTATTAATCATCATCGACTTCTTAAACAAAATGTGGTTTTTCTGGATAACTGGTACTTTGGGAGTTTTGTAATAACCCTTTTGGAGTCTAAACCAGCACATCTCCTCTGTGGGTTCATTCTAGAAAATGTGCTTTGTCTTTATCTTTAGTAATCCAAGACCGCTCTAAAATTAAGGCCATCAGGGAAATAGCAAACTGATGATGCATTTTCTTGTAGTGCTTTTTGCACACTACTGCTTGATCGACAGATCGTTCTGAAACATTTTTATCAGGCACCTGTAAAACAGAACACGTCTGTTAATTCATATTTATAGATGTTCATCTAGTATTCTAAGTTAGATTTCCTGTTTATTTATACCTTTACTCATTTAAAGAATATTAATATTAGTAGAAAGGCAAGCTCTTCTTTTGCTCAGTTTTATTTTTCAATTATTTTCTGGTTCTTTCTTATTTTTGTTTTTGTAATGGAGGCTCAACTTGGTTTACATTTCTGGCATGCAGATGAAAAACATTTCCATCATAATTACTTTGTTTTTAGATCTCTTATTACATAAAACTTGGAATGAAGAAAAGCCTCAGATACAGTTAAAGAGTATGATCCAAAAGTATGAAAAAACTGTGTTCAAGTTCTGGCTTCCACAAGTTCACAGGTGTATGCCTATGCAAATTACTTGTGAATGTCAGTTGCTTGATCTATAAAACAGGAATAGTGATAGCACCTCATGGTGGCTGTATGGATTAAAGGAAATAATGTATGGGGTAGTGCTTTATTATCTGTGTTATATAAATGTTAATTTTTTTAACCTTACAAAGATCTATGGCATTTTCTATTTCTACAGATATACCTGCTGAGAAGACAGAAGACTTACTTTCATCATCTGAATCAAATCCAAAGAGTGTCTGACATTTCTTTTGTGCAAGGTGAGCCTCAAGTGCTTCTGCATTACAGTAGGTGGTCAGGCATTTGCCACATCTTAATCTTTTCACTGATTTTTTACAAACGTTATCTTGATCAGAACAGGCATCTACCCTATCAGTCAGAAATTTTCTGCGTTTTGGCATACTAAGGTACCGTTCATCAAGGTAACTGGGAGGCAATGGTCTGACATATGGCTTTGTTAAAATTAAGCCATATGAAGTATGTTCACTCGTCTGATTTGGTTTGGAAGGTGCCTGAGGTACTGGCAGGGTACTGTGTTCTTGTGGTACAACACTAGGTAAAATGGAACCGTTTTCTGTCCTGATTCTATTTGTATCAATTTTCAAAGCAGGATCTGAGGAAACTAAAGGTGTTTGCTCTATTCCACTGTGTCCATTGACTAAATCACTAATACAATTATTTTCAGAATTTGGCTCTATGTCAGGCATCTTTTGGTCTGTCAAGCTTATATCAGAAACAGTGTGATCAGAATGTTCATTTCCATTCTGAACTAAACGGTCTTTCTTTTCCATACTTTCTATACATGTCTTTGGTTCTGTAGGATCTTTCCTTGATTTGCTAGTAGAAACTGGTACACTAACAGTTTGTTTCTCATTACTAGATGAGTCTTTTTCCTGATGATTAGATTTTGAGTCTGTAAGAACATCCCAAAGAACTGCTTCACTTGGTTGTGCAGATGATTCTGGTGTTTTACTTAAATAGTGCTGAGCTTCATGTTCATATAGTAGAGGAAGATCTTCAAAAAGCTCATGGCATTCTGGAAAACTACACTGAGCTTGAAATATCCTGTGACTTTTTGTGTGCTGAGCAAGTTGGATTGGCAGCTTAAATGACTCATTGCAATTAAAATGCAAACAAAAGTACACATTTGGATAGCTGTGTCTATTAAGGTGATCTATAAAATGTTGAGAATCTTCAAACTGCCTTTGACAAAATTTGCATTTTCCTTTGCTCCACTTCATTACTGTTTGCCGCACATTTAAATCAGTTGGATGTACAGTCCTTGCATGCTTATTTAGAAATCCAATTCTTTTAAATATCCTGACACAGCCAAGAGCGGGGCACTTAAAGTTTCCTTCTTGATCTGTCGCATATATGTCTTTTGGATGGCACACGGTTCCATTGATTTTATGAAGTACTGAAGTTTCCTGATTCAAGTCGTAATCATCTTCTTCATAATCACCTTCTTCGTCTTCTTCCTCCTCATAGTCATCCACACATACGGGTAATGGCTCTGAGACATTATTTAAAGAAGTATCAGGATTGCCATTTTCAGTAATATTTTCAATAACATCTTCCGATACACTTCCTGGAATTTCAATGAATTCACCCACATGTGAAGGGATGACATCTTTGTTTCCATCACTGGAACGGGTAATAGTCTCTACTTCCAAATCCTTATTATCAGACTTCCCATTTTCAAATGAAATGAAAGTATCAGAACAATTTATTTCTTCCAAAGCAGGATTTTCCTGATCCTCCTGTTGAGCTGCAGCAAGTTGCTGTCTCTGTATTTTCTTAACATGATTCTTTAAATGCTTCTGCATAAGTCCTCTGTTTCTAAATTTTCTACCACATATCACACATGAAAAACTGCCCTTTTTCTGATGAGCCTGCGCATGCCGTACAATGTGACCACCTAGAAATTCCTTGTTACATAACATACACCGATGCCTTGGGACATTGTGATCTACTCTGGAAGCATTAAGAGCTGTGAGGTTTTTCTTTGCATTAATATGACCTTTTGGTTGCACTCCAGATATATCATCAGGATCAAGCTCTCCAGTGCTCTGATCTGTAAGAGAGTCAAGTCCTTCATCTAAACCTTGCTGTTCCACTGCCTTTTTTACATTACCTGTAGAATTTTCCAGTGTACTTTCATTTAGAAATCTAATTGCTGATTTATCACTCAGTAACGCTACACAGTTTTTCTTAATCATTATGAAGTTCCAGAATTCAGGATCAAAAAACAATCCCTTTTTCAAAATTGGAAGTAATTCAAAACGAACACGATTTTGAACACTACTTGTGCCTTCATTATATTCTTCATCTGGACGTTTGTAAAGCTCTTCAACAGTATGATAAGCTTCCAAGGAGCGCTCAAGAAAAAATATTGAGAGTGCACAAATCCTGAGGATCTCCAAATCATTTGGCAAAAAATGTGCAATTGTTTTATAAATTAGACATTTAGTTTTGGGATCATCATGAAGGTCTAGCTGTAGAGCACAACCACATATTTCAACACAAATTTGTAAGCCTTCTTCTTCAACCTGTAAAAAGAAAAATATTACTGCTACTTCTTAAAAAAAAATTATTAACACTTACTAGATTATCCTTTTAAAATACTGGGTTGGCCAAAACGTTCCATAGCACCGTACGGAAAAACTCGAACAAACTTTCTGGCCAACCCAATACAACTCTGAAATGAAAGCTAAATAAACAGAGTATTCTAAATGTGCAATTTTCTTCAATGGGTAGCCATGTTTAACTACTTTTTAATATATAAATAAATCTGTTTTAACTTGAGAATAACCTGGAAAAGATAGTATTTTAGCTTCCAATTTATTTAATTTTCAAGTCTGACAAGCCCTACTGACCATAATACAAAATGCTTCATAACCTTATGGTTATTAAAATATAAAATGCTTCATGAACTTATGGTGATTCAAGTTTCTTACATATCTAGGCCCCTGTTTTAAGGTACCAATCTTACATTCTGTGGCAGAAGGGTTAAATTATATGTATTTAAAAACACAGTTATCAATTTTTTTTGTTTTGTTTTTGCGGTACGCGGGCCTCTCACTGTTGTGGCCTCTCCTGTTGCGGAGCACAGGCTCCGGACGCGCAGGCTCAGCGGCCATGGCTCATGGGCCCAGCCGCTCTGCGGCATGTGGGATCTTCCCGAACCAGGGCATGAACCCGTGTCCCCTGCATCGGCAGGCGGACTCTCAACCACTGAGCCACCAGGGAAGCCCAGTTATCAGTTTTTGATGTTAAAAAAATACTAAAGTAAAAACAAAAAGAACTGCTTATGGAAACTCTTTCATAAAGCTGCACTAAATAATATTACTTATTGTACTTATTAAGTAACATTATTAATCCAAATAAGGGGAGAAGTGTAATCCACATGAAGAAGGCAATTATAAACTTTCCAAATCTAATAAGGTATCAGAATAATGAACCTACTGGAAGTTATCTGAAAAGTATTCAAGCTTTGAAACTTTGACTGATGACTCAAAGATAACTGCATCAGCTTTTAGTTGGGAATTTGTTGTCTATCCACCTTAATTCAAGTTATAAATAATGCCTCTAGAATGACCTAAATGCTTGTTTGAATAGAAAGAGATAAAATAATAGTATGTCTTTAACAGTTGTGTCTGTGTATCATATTGCCTGCATATGGTATATTACAGATGACAGGGAGGAACACTACCTTGCCAGCCTCATGTCCTCTGAGTTCCTTATGTGCTATGCAACCCTCACTTACAGTTCCACAAGCAGAACTTAACTCTGCATATCACTTTACCTCGCTGGTAAATTCCTACCCATCTCCTATTCATTCTTTGAGAATCAATTCTGCCTTGAAAGTTTTTCTGATTCATTCTGGCCCCTACCTTGGGGTAGAGTTAAAAACATTCTCTATTCTTTCCACTGAGAATAATTTATACTTATTTCTAAAAAGCATGTAATATTGTTTTATAACTGTCCACGCCCCTACTTCTTGACTTGGAATTCGTAAATCACAGGGACAGTATCTCATTTTTCGTATCCTTCTGTGGTTAACATAGGAGTTGACATACAGTGACCTTTGAATAAATGTTTGCAGAATGAATGAGATCAGATAATATTCCACTGATTTAGTCTCCTATAAATCCACCATTTCCAGCTTGGAATCCTTTTTCTGAATTCAAATTTCTTATTTCTATAATTGTCAGTTACAAAACCTACCTAGATTTTCCAGATATAGCAAATTCAAATCCACTGCTTCAAAACAATTCATTCTCTTTGTTCAATGTTCTATCTACATCCTCTCTTTTCTCATGAAATTATAATGTACTCACAGTTGCTGAGGTTTAAAAATTTCAGGATCATCACAAAAGGGAACAGGCTACTTTCTTACCTGAAAGCCTTTAACAATTCCAGTATATTTATGGACTGACATTTCAATTTTTAGAGTAGCATTCAGTCCCTTTAGGGCTACCCGCAACCCCATAGAAGCTAAACTCTTCGATTAGTTTCGTCATCCACACACTTCCCCGTTTCTGTGCCACCCTATTAATGCCACTGGACAGCTGTGAGAACCAAATAATAAACTGAGGAGAAGGGGCTCTGTAAACTACAAAATCCTCTACAAATATTAGTATTATCCTCCTCTATCATTTAAAACCCAACTGAAAGCATCTTCCTCTGTGAAGGCTTTTCAGATATGCTATCTGTAATGTCTCCTTCTGAACTCACACAGCATTGCCTGTGCCTCTTAGCACTGAGGCGTGTGAATGATCTATTCCATCAGATAAAAATGTTTTTAATAGTATAAGAAATTAAGCACATTTTAAATATTTATTTCATCTTTGAATTTTTCCTCTTATCATGTATTCTTAGGTTGACCACACATGTGAAAACGAGAAAGCTCTATGATAATTGGCTGAACTTCACCTATATTGTAAATTTTCTATAACAAAGTCTCTCGATTTTTGGTACAAATGAGAATCATATGTTAAAAAAACAGAGATAGATAAATATTTTTTAAGAAGTTTTACAGGTAATTCTGATGTACTTCAAATATTAAGAAGTATTCTATAGCATAGTTTGTTTTTTCTTTGTTTTTTTTGGTGGGGAGAGAGGTTAACTTTGACAATGCATTTAAATGACATTTCACTCTTTAATAATGAAGCTATTAATGCAGTTAGCAAATAAATAGGAAATAAAACAAAACCAAACCCTCTGATATAATGCTTTTTATCACGGGAATATGATCACTACATGGTCATACATCTAATGAGTGATGTGATAATGAATGTAATAAATGCATAAATATGTAAAAAAATTAAAATATATTATTTAATGGATGCCTCTTTATATATTTAAAAGTAACCCACATAAAGATTCAGTTAAATGGAGCTACCTAAAATGTAAGGTAGCTTTATCTTTCCTATCTTTGTACTCAAAGTTCTGTTAATACTTGAGGAGAAAAAGTAAAAGGATCTGTAGGATCTACTTTCATGTCTATGTAAGAATCATACGTAGAATTGTACTCACTTGCCAGTGGCCCATGAAAAACTTGCTTCAGAACTATTTTTAAAAACAGGTAATGGGTTTTTACTATTATTTTAAATAAACACTTTAAAAATTTGTCCTTAGGTTTCAAAAATGTCTCAGAATTCATTATTCCTTTTTACCTAAACACCAAACGTAAAAACTATGAAGTATTTCTCTATGATGGTGAACAGGTATTAGCTATAGTTACAGAAAGTTCATTTGCAAATTAGTTAAGATTCTACATACAGGACTTAGAATAATGTTAAAAGGGCCAGGCTTATTTAATTATAAGAAAAGAGATAATAGCTTCTTATGGAAGCAGTTCCCATACTAAACTTTATGTAACACTAAATTTTTTTTCTCTTTTTTTCAGTTATTTTCATTTATGCATACTATTTGCACCATGTTGGGAGTTTGAGGTGGGGGGGGAGGGGAGGATATAATATATGGAGAATGCCTTAAAATCCTCCTTTTCTTCAATTACATGATCAAATACATTTTACCACAAGAGATTCAAGTTTCAGTGAACTGTCATTTAAATTTAATTTAAAATGAAGGGATAAATATATACTATTTACCTCATCTTTAATGATTTTCATGAAAGGAAATATGACTCTCACATTAGTTGCTGTTCTTAAAAGCTGGTAGCATTGATCTACAAAAACTTGTTTTGAAGGATTAGACTTTAGCTGAAGTTTACTCCATATGAAAATCAACTCCCTGTAAATGAGAAAAAAAGAGAAATATCAAAGATACAGTTTATTCAAATACAGACATTAGCTGTCTTTCCCTGATTCTGTAGTGCCCTGGCTGGGATGTATACAAAGTGGGTGTAAATGGATATTAAGTTAACTTCCAGGCTACTTCCACTACCTATTTGGGATTAATAGAAGCTAGGAGAAAAGGTGAGATTAGAAATTGCAATTTGCTGTATGGAATGCATTCTAATTATATGCCAACAAACCTAAGGCATCTCTAGTACTTGATCAAAACAAATTCTAATCTCAGTATACTAATATTAATGATATTGCTTAAAAAATTTAACTTTGACCTTTAATTAATACCCACTTGCAAATTTATAAATCAATGTTGTAGAATTTCTGCAAAGAATGGTTCATACTTTTCAATCTATTAAGATACCAAAAGTACTACAGATTAAAAGTGTAAGTATATTATAGTACTGATTCTGAAATTTTGTTTTATATCATCTACTCTTCCATTAAGATGTAGTATTTTAAACAGACAAGCTATGGACCATTTAAAGTGTTTCACAGGTAGACTCTTTTCTAAAATATGGCCAAGGTTATTAGATGAACAAGGTAGGAGCAGTGGGTTTTGAGGCAAAGGAAATCATAAGATATAATTGTTACATTTGGATATCACATTTTAGCAAATTAGAATTCCTTGAAAAGTGTCATAAAAGTTACATAAAACATCATAATCTAAAATGTATTAAAATAATTGATGAAAATGTTTAAAAAAAAAAGTGATATACTGAGAATGTACTTTGAACCCAGCACATACAGCTATTAAATCTAAGGACAGCTTGACTACTATCATGAAGGTATGCATACTCTATTTACAGAGACAACACAGAACACAAAACAAAAAATGATGGCAAGCAACACAATAAGTAAAACCAAAATTCCTCTTCTATTTCACACAAGCTGTGTGGGTGTTCCTAAGCTTTCGTCCACCACTCACTTTTTTTTGGCACACATATTCCTTTGGAAAGCTCACCAGGTTTCACACCATGTTCCCAAATCTCTAGCTCTGACTTCTTTCCCACTTTCTGTAACTGGGTATTTCAACTTAGATTGGTTTCTATCACTTTAATCCATTTAGAACAAATCAAATTCCTGCAAAATTGATTACCTTTTCCTAGACCAATGACACTAAACATTTCTCTAACCTGTCTGGTTCTAACCTGCTGGTTTTTCATAGTCTTTATATTTTTATTATATTTTTGCCCACAGTTATATCATTCTTTCTCAATGCTACCACGTTAGGCCCTTTAATTTTCCATATGTACTTCTATAGGAGTTGCTAAACTGATCTGCTTCCAGCCTCCCAGATTATTTCATTTAGTACTTGTTCAATATCCCTTGTGGTGTTAAAAGCAACAGAAACATGGGCTTTGGTGTCAGAAGGATCAGGATTTGAATCCTGGGCATTCTCCTAAGTTGGTTTCCTCAGTGTCAGTTAATGTGCTTCATTTATTCTCACTTTTTGTTGTGCTGATTGCTCTACTTGGAAAATATTTATTTCTAAGATAAGCTTATCTTTCAGAGTCCATATCAAGTGCCTCTTCTTAATGCAAATTTTCATGAATACCCCAAACTTAAAGTGATAACTACTTCAGAACAGATCTTATCTCTCTTACTGGTTTAATGCCTTTCATATACTTCCTTGTTTATAAGTCCTGTTTCCCCAACTATTAATACATTGTAAATCTTCTCAATGACACATTATATAGTGGAGGTAGTGAAGAAGATTGGGAATAAGAGACCTACATTTCAATAGGGCATTACATGCCAACTGAGATGGTACTCCCCAGTTCACACTGAACCACCATTTTCTAAGAATAGCCCGAATACACAGGGCTGGAACCTCAGTGGCCATGCCTAAGTGACCCTCCTCACTCTCCTTAAAATATTAATTCAGGAATGGGAAACTGACCCCAATTAAGTCAGTCAGAATCCCTGGAATGTTCTCAGCTCTAAACTATGAAGCCTGGGGACTGTTGGCATTCTTCTGGTCTGCAACAGGAAAGACTGAAGCCAAATGGCAGAACAGAGATACTTTAAAAAAAGCCCAGCAATCTCAACGTCCCTGTTAGCAATTATCTTTGAGGACCACCTATAACCCTGCCCTTTTTGTGGCTCACGTCATACCCCAGTATACATTGAATAAATACTACCTTCTCCCTGAACTAGTTAGACATAGGATGTTATCACTTGGAAACTGACTAGTATAAATTCCAACTCCATTTTGTTACTAGCTGTGTGGCTTTTATCTCTTTTATCCACAGTTTTCTTATACATAAAAAGAATTAAGAGAGATAAGTGAAAACACCTAGGTGAAATGTCTGGTATATACTGATGTTTAATAAATTGCTCAGATAGTCTTCTTTGTGAAGATGAAAGGGAAAGTTTAATGAAGCTTATGTTTTCCTTTCCAAAAAAGGGTCCTTAAAAAAGAAACAACACAGCACTGATTTGGTGTACAAACACATTTCCCAGGTAGCTAACTGCTAATATAACCGCCAAGTTATCTAGTTGCAGAGAGACTATAACAAGGTCTATAGCCACCCTTACCACATAGATTTTTTTTCATACTATACCCATTTTATAGTAAGTAATGTTTAGTAGCAGAGACTGCCTGGGTTTGAATCATTATTTACTAGTTGAATGGTTTGGGCATATTATCTACCCCATAAGATTGCTGGAGTAAATGAGATAATGCATATATAAAGCATAGACTAATGGAAGCACTCAGCAAATATAAGCAGCTGCTATTATTATAATATTCTTATTATCGATGGTGAGAGAACTGGATTAGTAGCTTGCTTCATTGGCTTGAGACAGAGCAAAACTGGACTCTGATCAGGTTTTGTCCTCAGAGAGGGGAGATGAAGAGTAAGCTGAAGACCAAGATGAAACAGACAACACGGACCTTATAAGCTGGAAAGAATCCTGCTCTTGAAGTTACAGTGAAAATCAACTTTTTCGGACCCCAGCACTCAGAAATATAAAGGAGAGAGGTAGAAGAAATAAGAGGGCAGGCGATCAGAACTCAGCCTACTCAGAAGGAAGGACAAAGAAGCAGGCTAAAGATTCTTTTCAGTTAGGCAGCTGGGAGTCACACAGCCAGCTTCTATTCTTAGAAGGTGACTGTGGCCAGGAGCAGGAAAGATAGGCACTGTTCTATTTTTAAAGTTCTTCCCTAAAGAGTAGAAATTGGTCAGCCAAGAGAAGAAGAAAATAAAATGTTTTCCTGGTCCTTTTTGGTTTGTTTATACTTGATTCCAGTTTACTTATGAGTGTGTTAAAATGAAAACAATGGATATTCTGTTTGAATAGTTTAATATAGCCAAGGATAGAGAACATTCCTATCACCATAGGAAAAGATATACTATAACAGTAATGACTATATCCTGTTTCAAAATAACTACATATCAAGAAGTGATAATACTTTGAAAACTATTTAGAAGTGTATGTCTTACCATTGTCTCCTGATCCTCCTCTCTATTTGTAATTTCAATTTACATGGTAAACTTCTGAATAAAAATTTGTATATTCTAAGAGTACAGTCCCATAGAAGACAAAATCCACTAGTTTCTAGACCCAGTTCTATTAATTAGCTATTTGACTCTATCTCTGAATCTGAAGATTTTAATCTATAAAATCTATAATATATTAAATAAGTTTATCTTTAAACCCCCTTCAAGCTATTGTTTTAAGTATCTAAGAACTTAAAATTTGAAAGCATTTATTAAAAAATGTTTATAGCCCATATCATTTCATATTATGATGTTAGGCACATGAAACCTAGTTTTCTCTTAAGAATTAATGACATGTCAAAGTGGCAGGGTTTTTTTTCTTTTGTATGTGTGTGTGTGTGTGTGTGTGTGTGTGTGTACTGGGGTAGGGGAGGCAGAAGTTATTAGAATCTTTTCTAATTATTATTCATGATTTCATCTAATAGCACTTAAGGGTTGGTACTAAAAATACTCTCAAACCACATTCTAAATTACATGATTGCTAGATAAATTTGACGCTTCATAATATTCTAATAATTTTTTTTAAACATTTTGCTATTATTTGAGGATATTTCAAGAGGAACTCTTTTATTTATTTATTTATTTTTGGGCTGTGTTGTGTCTTCACTGCTGCGTGTGGGCTTTCTCTAGTTGTGGCGAGTGGGGGCTACTCTTTACTGTGGTGCGTGGACTTCTCATTGCAGTGGCTTCTCTTGTTGCAGAGCATGGGCTCTAGGTGTGCGGGCTTCAGTAGTTGTGGCTTGCAGGCTCTAGAGTGCAGGCTCAGTAGTTGTGGCGCACTGGCTTAGTTGCTCCGCATCATGTGGGATCTTCCCGGACCAGGGCTTGAACCCATGTCCCCTGCATTGGCAGGTGGATTCTTAACCACTGCGCCACCAGAGAAGCCCTCTGCTAATAATTTTTAACTGGTTTTAAAAATGCTTAGAAAAACTAATAGTCACATAATACCATTTATATTAGTGTCCCCAAAATGAGTTACTTAGGTATAAGTCTAGCAAAATATGTATAAGATCTACATGAGGAAAAAATCTAGCAAAATATGTATAAGATCTACATGAGGAAAACTACAAAACTCTGATGAATGAAATCAAAGGACTAAATAAATGGAGATATATTCCATGTTCATGGACAGGAGGGCTCAATATTGTCAAGTTATTAGTTTTTCTCAACTTAATCTACAGATTCAATCCCAATCTAAATCCCAGCAGGTTATTTTATGGATATGGACAAACTGTTTATGTGGAGAGACAAAAGACCCAGAATAGCTAATACAATACTGAAGAAGAACAAATTTGGAGGAATGATACTACCCGACTTCAGGACTTAATATAAACTAACATAATGAAGACAGAGTTGTACTGGTGAAAGAAGAGACATATAGATCAATGGAAGAGAACAGAGAGCTAGAAATAGACCCACATAAATATAGTCAACTGTTCTTTGACAAAGGAGCAAAGGCAATACAATGGAGCAAAGATAGTCTTTTCAAGAAATGGTGCTAGAACAACTAGACATCCACATTAAAAAAAAAAAGAGTCTAAACACAGACCTTACACCCTTCACAAAAATTAACTAAAAATGGATCATGGTCTAAACAGAAAACACAGAACTACAAAACTCCTAGAAGATAACATAGGAGAATACCTAGATGACCTTGCGTATGTTGATGCCTTTTTAGATATAACACCAAAGACATGATCCATGAAAGAAATAATTGATAAGCTGGACTTCATTAAGATTGAAAACTTCTCTGTGAAAGACAATATCAAGAGAATTAAAAGACAAGCCGCAGACTGGGAGAAAATATTTGTAAAAGACTCATCCAATAAAGGACTGTTATCCATAATATACAAAGAACTCTTAAAACTCGACAATAAGAAAACAAACAACCCAATTAAAAAATGGGCCAAAGACCTTAACAGACACCTCACCAAAGAAGATATACAGATAGCAAATAAGCATATGAAAAGATGCTCCACATCATATGTCATCAGGGAAATGCAAATTAAAATGAGATACCACTACACACCTATAAGAATGGCCAAAATCTGGGACACGAATAACAAATGCTGGTGAGGATGTGGAGCAACAGGAAATCTCAAACACTGCTGGTGGAAATGAAAAATGGTACAGCCACTCTGGAAGACAGTTTGGCAGGTTCTTACAAAACTAAACATACTCTTACCATACGTTCCAGCAATCGTGCTCCTTGGTATTTACCCAAAGGAGGTGAAAATTTATGTCCACACATAAACCTGCACACAGATGTTTATAGCAGCTTTATTCATAACTGCCAAATCTTGGAGGCAACCAAGATGTCCTTTAGTAGATGATGGATAAATAAACTGTGGTACATCCAGGCAATGGAATATTATTCAGCACTAAAAAGAAATGAGCTATCAAGCTATGAAAAGATGCAGAGGAACCTTAAATGCATATTACTAAGTGAAAAAGGCCAATCTGAAAAGGCTACATACTGTATGATTCCAACTATATGATATTTTGGAAAAGGCAGAACTATGGGGATAGTAAAAAAAAAAAAAAAAAAAAAAAAAAAAAAAGGGGGGATAAAAAAAAAAAAAAAAAAAAAAAAAAAAAATCAGTTGTTTCCAGAGGTGGTGGCAGGGGTGGGAGGGAGAGATGAATAGGCAGAGCACAGAGGATTTTTAGGGCATACTCTGTATGATATTATAGTGATGGATATATGTCATTATATATTTGTCCAAACCCATAGAAAATTAACACCAAGAGTGAACCCTAAAGGTAAACTGTGGACTCTGGGTAATTGTGTCAATGTAGGTTCATTCTTAGTAAAAAATGTACCATTTGGTGAGTGATCTTGATAATGGGGGAGGAAATGCCTTTGTGGGGGCAGGGAATATATAGGGAATGCCTGTACCTCCCTCTCAATTTTGTTGTAAAACTTAAAACTGCTCCGAAAAATGAACTCTTAAAAAAATTTAAAAATAACACTCTAAATTTAATTTAAAACATAACTATTTTATTGTAACACATTCCTTAAATATCAACACTATCAATTACTGGTACATGATCATTTTCCTTTTTAATCCTTACGATAGGTCTTACAACCTATCGTTTTTTGCACAATAAATGTGGGGGAAAAAGTGGCTTAACATTTTCACATAACTTTAAAAAAATATATAAGGTGCAAATTCTGCTAACCAATTCTCCTTCTGTACCCCATCTCACCATTTCAATTTCTATATTAGGAACACTTACCAGATACAGTACATATCCCCATTCTGGAGCTGTGGAATAAGAAAGGATTCACAGAGTTGCAAGGCTAACATAGTCTTGCCTTCTTTTTCAGTGTTACAGATGATATCAATTCCACTCTTACAATCAGTTTTCAGTAAATGCTATAAGAGAAAAAGAAAAACCAGTTTGTATCATTAAAAATATCTAGAAAGATAGGTGTAATAAATGTTTAAATTAAGCATTCAGAAGAAATTAGATTTCTAGTTTTCTTCTACAAAGACAATGATGAGTTGTACAGAGATATTTTCATGTTTTCATAGTTTCACTATATAGAACCTACAGTTTACAATGACTACTTTTAATCTCAATGTCCACAGCTTGTCTGGTATGTAGGGTCCATATTCGAAAAAGGTTCTTTCATCTTAAAAAAAAACCAAAATAACAAACATATGCATTTAATTTCTTACAATTTTATTTAAAATGCAAAATCATAATGCTTCTCGGTTTTTATTTAACCTCTGTCACACCAGAAGCTCACTCAACATGAATAATGCTTATCAACAAAAATTTTAATTTCATCATTTGTTAATATCAGACTCTAATTCAATATGAGCTTAAAGAATGGTGCCAAAGGGAACATCTAGATAATGTAATTTTAAAACCTTTGATATTACTGTAAAAGGAATTTAACAAGAATGGGCTACTTTTTTTTTTTTTGGTAATGTTAAAATGGTAATAGGCAAACATAATCTCAGACAATACCTCCCGGAATAGGTGATCTTCTACAGGTGACATAAACAGACATGTGAAGAGTGCTTGATGGAAGTACAAGTCTTTACTGATTTCTGGGTGATTTATACAACATTTAATGAGAGCCATTGCTTCAGGTATGCGTTCACAAGCAATTAGATATCTGGCACGTAGTTCAAAGAATAGTGGATTTTCAGAACTTAAATATTTGTTCACTATATTAAAAAGAAAACAGACTCTTATTACTCTCATGAAAAGACTGTCTGAAACTTTGTTCTTTGACACCTTAGCGCTAACATGTGGTATCTAATTAAATCAACTATTTAATTAAATAGTATTTTTCTTATTAGGAGTTTATTTGTGAAAGGAATGTTCAGTTAAATGATTGGAAAAATGGAAGTAAGAGACACCAAAACTGTGCCCAAGAAATATTTGCTGATTCTTTCTCAGTCTAAAAAGTAAGCAAAATTTAAAAAACAAAAAAAAACATGAAATATTCTTTTTTTGTGTTCAGTAATGTTAAAATATGTTTCAAATTTCTTTCTAGTCTAAGATTACATACTTTATCTTCTTACTGACCAGTATTTTCATTCCTATAAGATTAAAAGGCTAAATTGTAATTTGTCATTAAACCATATTAATTCAGATTAATTATAGAGAAATGTAATCTGAATTAATGAAAAAGTTCAATCATAAAAGAAATATATTTTATTACTTTCAAACAAAAAAATTAAGTTACAAGTAGTGCCAAACAGGACTGCTTATTAATATATGCCCATGTGTCACTAAGGATAATTACTAATTAATACTTGCTTTTATACAATTTTAAAATATATAAAAACCTTTATCTATATAAGTTCATTTAGACCTAACAACAACCTCATGACAGGTATAATATTAATACTTGTTTTACAGATCACAAAACTGAGTCTCAGAGAGGTCAAATGACTTGCCCAAGGACAAAGAATTAATTAAATAAGTGGCAGAGCAGGAACTGGAACCCATATTTCATGATTTCAAATCCAAAAATCTTTTAATTAGTTATATATGTTTAATCAGTAGTTTCTGAAATGCCTATGAATAATGTTTTATTTGGGCTTCAACATTTGCCTTGCAATTCTGTTTACACTATAAGCTAAGCAGACAATGATTTTGTATAGTTGATGCAAAGATAAACTTCAGACTGATCTTTACTCTGATGATCACCAACTAGAGTACAGTCATCTACATTAATGAGGTTCTAGAGCAGCTTTTCCCAAAGTGAGGTATGCTAGTGTAAGTATAAAAGGAATATATATGAAAGGACTATATACATATTATAAACTGTATATATTGAGGACATCAGCCCTCACACCAACAAGCAACAGGTTTGTTCTAGCTCCTACTGAAAGGAGCCTAAAAGCTACCCTAAAACCCCAAACTCTCCTCCCCTGTTCTCATTCCCTATGATTGTCTTTGCCTAGCTCCTGTCCCCTCTGGCCACATTCTCCAGTTTCCTCAGAGATTCCTTCAAGGCTGTCACCCTTGCCTTCCCTATATTTGATGGTTCATACTTTTCCTCAATGAGCCGACTCTTCCTCCTCTGATCTAACTACTGCCTCCCTCTTCAGTTTTTTTCTTTTCTTTTTATTCCTTTCCAAGACCCTCACATCAAGTGCTACTCTCCTTTGTATCCTTTATATTTATACCACACCATTGTCACATATACCTTAGCTCTTTCCTTCTAGTCTTGTCCTACCTCCCATCTCATTCCACCACTGCTTCTCCTGGTCTTATCTCTTTTTTCATCTTCTCTAACATCTCTTCTAGTCCTCTACACTTGTATCTGGGGTCAGCTTGCTCTTAAGCCCTAGAATCATAGCCCCTTCTCCATTCAGTTCTACTCACAACCCACCCCACTCCTTTACCTGGGACAAATGGAAAGATCCTAACCTGCACAGGCAATTGGTGGTGTGAAACGTCTTCTCACCAGACCAATATCTGAATGGTTCCAGCTGGCAGGTCTTGTCTTTCCCTTTGGTCATGTTATAACTGCACTCCATAGGCTCTCTCCATGCTCTCAAATGTGTCCACACTTGTGCTTATTCACTACTGCTGAGCTTACATTCTATGTTTTGGTGACCCAAATGTTCTGGGGCTCAGGAATAATATGGCAAATGTTTTTTTAAAAATAATTAACTAGAAATAGTTGACAGAGCTTCCTGCCTTCAAAAGCAGATTTTGGCTCACAGGAACCACTGTGTATCTAGGTTGGAGAGGAAGTGATGTCCAAAAGGTATGCAGGTGGTAAGGGGATGAAACAAAACTTAACTTCTATTAATGAATGAAGTTCGGGAAATACTGCTCTAGAGTATTTGGAATCGAAATTTACTTATTAGTCACTCATTCAGTTATGCATTCATCATGTGGTCATTCATTCAGTAAACAAATATTTATACTGAGCACTGGCTAGGTGTAGGATATATGGTAGTGTATATCAAAACAAAAGCTGAAGGAGTTCCATCCTTCACAGAGTTTCCTGTATAAGGGAGATTCCATGTGCTTAAGGAGGGTGTTTTTTTGTTTGTTTGTTTTAAAGGGTGTTCCTACTTAAATAGATTTTAAAAAACATAAGTGAAAACAAACTCTGTAAAAAGCATGGGGATACTAAATATGTTAACACTCTGAATTCCCATTTTAATAGGAAATTACTAGAAATAATTGTACCTAATCTTATGTCAAGTCACTCTTGGGCTGGGTTAATGTAACAAATTAGACACACTTCATGTGAAAATACATTACTCTTATTCAGTATTATAAAATAAAGAAAAATCACTATTACTGCTCTAGTTAGAAAATGAAATTGTATTTGCTTCTCACAAATGTTGGTTTAGAGTTTGAGTCTCCTGAAGTACCTATCTCCTGAGATGCTGGCTGGGCTTTTAGAACAGCTTGCAACACTGGATCTTCCCATGGGCCACCATCTCTAATGATTCGAGTCACCAGTTCCAGATTCACATTTCCATATCTGCGGAGGTGATTCTGGCATTCCTAGGAGAGAAAAATCATTTTGGCTTTGTGAATTTAAAGGGGTTAAAAACTAAACTTGATCATCATTGTCAATAAAATGACTGATGGTCAGTGAGGCAGCTGTTAAACTACAGAAGAGAAAGGGTTGCTTTAGTAACCTAATTAGGGTGTCAAAACCCCATTAGTACACAAATAGGCTTTAATGCCAAAGGTTACACAGTTTGTACATAATTGGACTTAGAAAATCCCAATGTAACAGGGATGAAGTGTAACCTAAGGGAAAAACATATGGGATGCATCATTTCTAGGAAAAGAACCAGGCTGCAAAAACCTAATGGAAAAACTTACAGGATGCATCATTCCTAGGAAAAGAACCAGGTTGCAAAAATGTAAAACGTGTACGTTCAGTCATGTGAGAGTTCATAAAGTCTCTGTTAACAATGGCAGGCCTAACAATAAGAAGGTAATAGAGAGGTCCCTGTCCAATGCAGATTCTGGTTGGCAGGTAGATACAGGTCTCTGTCACTGATCCCAAATGTAGAATCTTAGGGGTAGCAGAAGGCTGGAAGATGGAAATTCTATTCCACTTTGTTGTGTAAGTAGATTTATAGTCTTGGGATGAGAAATGACAGGCTGAAGGAATGAATCCAGGCTATAATATGAAGGCTTTGCATTAGGTTTAAGATAAAGATACTATTGATAAGTTGGGCATTAACTGATAATTTGTCTATGCATTTTGGAGGACTTTTTTAAAAAAGATATTTGAAATGTTTTTAGAGAATCTGGTATCTAAGACTTGTGATTAAAATACGAAATATGTAACAAGTTTGTGAACAATGTTTAATATTTAGGAGAACTTGGGTTACTGAATTTATAAATTTATTAGATTTACAAGATTTAATCATTTGATTATGATGCTTTGATTCATTATATACTTTGTTAGGTATTTTTTTAAATGTTTCATGGAATCTAATTTGATAATTTAAAAAGATTAACTGAAGGCCTAGTGAAGGTATGGATAGATTTATTTTTTAATGCATAAATTGAGCTTAAGGCCTTAAGAAAAAACTAGATATTGAAATTGGCAATGCTAAAAACTGGAATAAACTGCACATCAATTAAAATACAAGCAACTGTCAGAATTTCTTTCTGTGCTAAAAAAATCCCTCAGACATGAAAAACCTAGTAACAGTTATAAAGCGAAGCTTCAGGATAAAACCATATATATTTACAAATTTTATTTATCAGATGGATCATTAGGCTACATATTCAAAGTGGCAGTGAACACTTTGCTTTTATTAAATTGTCATGCTCTTTCATCGTTTCAACTTTCCAAAGTGATATCTATATGCCACTTTTCATTCATTGTTAAAATACATGCAAGAGGTTTTGTTTTATAAGAGAACAAGGCAGTAGAAGGAATCAAGTTTCAAGATGAAGAATCATTCAAAGAAGCCAAAGGATCATTAAGTCAAAACATGAAAGTAAGTATCTTCTAAAAGTTACTTAGGGAATTCCCAAATTAAAATGAGCAAGCAAGCAAACAAAAACCCTATAGCCAAATGGGCAAGTTACTTAACCTCTCTGCTCCTTCAGTTAACTCCTCTATAAAACGGATACTAAAAACACCTACTTCATAGGATTGTTGTGAGGATTAAATAATACACAGTATTGAAAAGTGCTTAGGACAATGCATAAGTACTTAATGTTAGCTATTTTTTTCTACTTTTTAAGATTCTGAATAAATATTTTATTTTAGGACACCCAACTTCCTTAGCATAAAATTAATTTCTACATTTCCATGTGTCAGCATATTATAGCACTCATAAAAATATGGTATAAAGTTATTGATCAGCCATGATTTTTTAACACATGGAACATAGTAATGATCTGTGGCAATGACTTCATGGTTAAAAATAATCATCGATTTCAAACCTCAAGGTAAACAAACTCCTAAATTACTCTAGACATACATATTGCTGCCCATACAAATTAAACTACCGTAAGCTGGCTTTTGGTCCAGTCAAAGCATAAGAAATAAGGTGAGCTGGATGCCAGCCCATGAATCACTGATTAGGCTTTAGCTCTGCTGCTGAGCTCTTGGACAATCTTTCTTTCTAGCTGTGTTAGGATAGGTGAGGCACCAATCATACAGCCATTAGTGCTGTGGGACCCAGAACTGGACTTGGGCCTAAAGTCAAGATATGGTGAAATAGGTCTATTGCTAATTTCTTAAACTTGGCTGAAAATAAGAAACACTTGGAGGTCCTGTTAAAAAATGATTCCCAGACCCCAATTCAAACCTACTGAATCAAGGTTTCTAGGAGAAAACCCTGATAATCTGTATATTTAACAATCCCTACCCCACAGTCAACTCTGGCATACTTTTTGATTGTATTGGGTTGGCCAAAAAGTTCCTTCGGTTTTAAAGTAAAAATAAGACAAATTTTTCATTTTCACCAAGAACTTTATTTACCATTTTGTTCCACTACCTTCTGCCATTTTTCAGGCAACTTCATAATTCCATCTTGCCAAAACTTTTTATCTTTTTGAGCAAAGAACTGTTCCAGGTGCCTTTTATAGTCTTCCATGGAATTGAAATTTTTTCCATTAAGAGAATTTTGTAAAGACCGAAATAAATGGAAATCCGAAGGTGCAATGCCTGGTGATTACATCGGATGAATCAGAACTTCCCAGCCACTGTAACAGTTTTTGCCTGGTCATCAAAGAAACATGCAGTCTTGCATTAACCTGATGGAAGATTATGTGTTTCTGTTGACTTTCTGGATGCTTTCTGTCGAGTGCTGCTTTCAGTTGGTCTAACTGGTAGCAGTACTTATTGGAATTAATCGTTTGGTTTTCCAGAAGGAGCTCATAATAGAAGACTCCCTTCCAATCCCACCATATACACAACATCACCTTCTTTGGATGAAGACCGGCCTTTGGTTTGGTTGGTGCTGGTTCATTTCACTTGCCCCACAATCTCTTCTGTTCCACATTATTGTATAGTATCCACTTTTCATCGCCCGTCACAATTTGTTTTAAAAACAGAACATTTTAATTACGTTTAAGTAGAGAATCGTATGTTGAAATACGGTCAAGAAGGGTTTTTTTGCTTAACTTATGTGGAACCCAAACATCAAAGTGATGAACATAACCAAGCTGGTGCAAATGATCTTCAACACTTGATTTGGATATTTTGAGTATGTTGGCTATCTCCTGCGTGGTATAACGTTGATTGTTTTCAATTAATGTCTCAATTTGATCGCTATCAACTTCAACTGGCCTACCTGACCACGGAGCATCATCCAGCGAGAAATTGCCAGCACAAAACTTCACAAACCACTTTTGACACATTTGATCAGTCACAGCACCTTCTCCATACACTGCACAATTTTTTTTTCACGTTTCAGTTGCATTTTAACCTCTCTTGAAATAATAAAGCATAATATGCCAAAAATGTTGCTTTTTTCTTCCATCTTCAATATTAAAATGGCTATACAGAAATTCACCAATTTTGATAAGTTTTTTTTTTTTAACACACGATGATATGACAGCTGTCAGAATACAATCTAACAAAATTGTTCCAAATGAAGTTAAAGACAACTAAGCACTACTAGCTACTAGAGCTATCTTACAGAAAAAACTGAATGAACTTTTTGGCAAACCCAATCCCTTCTACATTTGGAGTGCACTTTCATAAATGTTTATACTGTAAATTATATACCTGTACTCCTACCAATCCTTCTATTAAAGATTAGTAAATTAGCTTAAATTCATCTTTCTAATATAAAAATTATAAATGAAAGTTTTGTTTTTTGTGTGCGTGCACTCGTTGAGTCAAGTGCACCATATTTTGGAGGCCACTTCTATGGGGAAATAACTCTGGATAGGAAATAGAGATGAAAGAAAGATTTCACTTTTGTCTACTTAAAAAGACACAGGATGAAAGAAAAGTTTCTAAGTATCTTCTGGCTTATTTTTCCTTAAATAGTATGGTGGCTTTTTTGGATGATATTCAATTTAAAAGCCTCCCAAGCGAAAAGGAAACACTTAAATCACTACAGAATTTACAACTTATCTTTTCTAGAGTATATTCAATTGTGTTTTTTTAGAATGTTTACTTAATTAAATTTGGACCTGTGTATTAACCTCATCCTTTATTTACCTACTGCACTGTGCTAAATACAATTTCCTCAGAAACTTACATTCAATCTTGTGTTTTTGCCAAAGGCAGAGAGAAACCATAACTACCTCACTCTTCTTTTAGAATCCATTTAGTTCCAGAAGATGTTTCTTCCCTGCACCTGCTGCCACTTTAGAGTTGGCCACCACAACATGTCTGTGAAGCTGCAGGTCAGTGTTCTGGCCATCGCACAAACTTGATCTGAAACCTTTAGCTTATCATAGGATAAAGGTTCTTAATGCCCCGACTTCATATTTAAGGACCTCTGGATTTACGTACCTACTCACTCACCTATTATTGCACATCATGACTCCTTTTCTCCAGCCTGGTCTCTTCCATGTCTCCCAAACTTATCTTGTCCTTTCTTGTCTATGCCTTTTCTCATATCATTCTCTTTCTCTTACAACTTTTGGTAAACCTATCTAAATCCTTTCTTAACTATTTTTCCACAGAGAAGCCTCCACTAGCCACCTCAATCCATAATAATTCTTTCTCCTGCAGTACTGAAAATCTGTACCACTCCACTCTTCTGGTACTCATAATATAGGAGGAAGGCCTTGCATTACTAATTAGGTGTTGCCATCTTACTTCCTAGGTAGTTAAAAGCTTCTTCAAACAGTCAGAAAAGGAAAGGTATATCAG